CTTCCTACTCTCTCTCTCTCTCTCTCTCTCTCTCTCTCTCTCTCTCTCTCTCTCTCTCTCTCTCTCTCGCATCTCCTCCGAAATTTTTGCACGTGTCATTCGAAATATTTTTCGTCGGATATCAAACGCGTTACTAAAATATAATCAATCTCGATTTTTTTTTTCTACTAAATCTAAAATACCGCATTTTTGTCTTCCTCTTGTGCGCGCGCGCGCGCGCGCGCTAGAAATAAAACCACCTCCGAATCGACTCGCTTTGTTTTACGCGTGGCGTGTTATTAAAAAATTCATTCGCCTTTCCTTTTCTATCGTAAAATTCGTGTTTGTACAAGGTGCTGCTGCTGCTGCTGCCGCTGCCGCTGCTGGACGACTAGCCAGTGATGGGAATTCAATTAATCGCGTATTTATCGGGAGGATATGAAATCGAGGAGAATTGTCGGAATACTTACCGCCTACTATCTATTGATTGGTAGAACATGAACGAAAAGACTTTAATCTGGAAGTTCGTTTACGGGTGCGGGACGTGTGTGCGCAAACTTTGGCCTGCTACGTGCCAGATAAATCAGACCTGCTCGGAACGGATGCGCTCTCTGTTCTTGCAACCTTGGCCGGGAAGTTCGAGCGATAATTGAGTCGTATGAATAAAGCGGAGCGAAATTCCTTTGCACGTATTTACCGAAGGAAAAGCTTTAGTGAAGGCATTTTCGCGAAAAAAAATATTAAAAAAAAGAAAGGATGTATATTCGGACATTTGTGCATCATTAAAATTCAGATGTTCGACGTTTAAAAAAAAAAAAAAACAATTGAAAAATTGAAAATTAAAGAAGCATGGATTGTACATCGTAATTTGCAAATCAAAATTTTACGACTCATTCGGGGACATCATCGCGAAATTGAAACATGTTTTAACGATTATACTGTTATTTATATGCACTTAATTGCATTTTTCTATATTTTAAATAGGAAATCTAATTAAGATTCTCAAGATTTTCAATATGCGTATTATATTTTTATTGTTGACAACATTTTTCGAAAACGTTTTGGATTCCCATCACTGTTTGATTCCACGCAAAACTCGAGATAAAAAGGACGCGGAATATCGATATTTAGAGATTTATTAGTATTAATAAATGCTCTTAACTTGCTCCTCATCTCTTGAAAGATACACGGAGGCGCGGAGGATTTTCTCGACGAATTAATCTCACATCTCATATAGAAAGAATGATCGAACATCAAAGACATCGACATTTCGTCTAAATTCCCTCTCTTTTTTTTTTCTCTTTCTCTCTATTTCTCTCTCTCTCTCTCTCTCTCTCTCTCTCGCTCGCTCGTTCTCTCTCTTTCTAGGTACATATTTACAAAAACCACGAATGGCGAACGTTAATCTTATAACGCCCGCGGATGCAGCGGTGGCCCAAATGCGGCACGTCGAAGAGCCAGACCAGCTGATGGACAGAATTTCCATTTTCATGGCAATTTCAAATGGATCGAATGTTGACCCGTTAATTGTTAATTTGTATAGGTGAATTACGCGCTCGTGATTGAATTAGTAATTGTATAGCAATTTATTATAATTACACAGTAAAAATATATAATATCCAGAATATATAACGGGTGTGCGTAACACCATACGAAATACATGCGCGCACACGCACACGCACACGCACGCACGCAAACACACACACACACACACACACACACACACACACACATGTGTATATACCTATGTATGTATTTCGCGTGGTGCTATACGTCGTCGCGATTTATTAACGATAATAAAATATTATACCGGCGCTATAGTTATTACTACAAGCGTGTAAAGGGATTGCGACTCGTCGTCCGCGCGTTCTTTGCGCGGAGAAAGGTACCGTATAATTCACCACCATCATCCACGCTTAGACCTCCGAGAACACCGAGCTCCTTATCGGTTACACTGCTCTCGCCGGAGAGCAGCCACTTTGCACAGCTGCTGTTTCAGGACCCTTTTTATTTTTATCCAACGACTATAGTTACGGCGGAAGGGTAGTTACTCGGTACGACACGTAGCCGTGGTATCGACCGTATGCAAATCCGCCACTATACACTTCTAAAACATACGTATCGTGCATGTATTTTAAAGACGTGTATCTCTAGATAGAAAATAATAAGACGATATTTACTCTGTAATATTTTTCTCGCGACAAAAGTCAAGAAACGGAGAAAACTGAGTGCGAGCGAGCTGTCTCGCCGATCTCTCGGTGTTCTTAGGGCTAACGCTCCGTCAAGAGGTTCTCGATAAGGCCTGATTACGTCCGCCATTGTCTACAGACATTCAGCAATCGTCCACTGGAAATTTGCTGATCGCGGATTAAGATTTCCCCCCCCCTCCCTTCCCCTCTTTTTTTTTTTTTAATAAACCTGGTCGACTCGTCGTCGTTCCGTCGCGACCCTCATGAAAAAATACTATATATTATACACACGTATGTATATTTTCTTTTTTTTTACTACATGATTGAATCGTGTGATCTATACAATGGATCAAGTCGACCGTCAAAAATATCTTTAAAAGCGACACGCGCCGCGTAGTCTCGGCGCGCTGTATGTACACCACGGAGCACCCTATATGTATATTTACACAAAAAAAACGAATTTACCATTTTATTACCGCGTGTATATAAGTACCTCTTAATCCTTCCCCCGACTTCCCTCGACTATCGCACCACTCGCGCGCGCAGTTTATTGTGTCTTCAGTTTGTACTCTCTTCACACTCCCTACCAGTTCAATTTTTTCGAAAGAACTTCTCTACTCTAGTGTTAATAATATTACAGTACACGCTATAGTAATTTTCGGAAATATCCTCGATATTGTACAGGCCTCACACATTCGAAAAAATGCGACACGACATCGCCGGATCGCCCTCGAATTTCGATGCGGTCGTTAAATTTAAAAAAAAAAAAAAAAAAAAAAAAAAAAAAAAAAAAAAAAAAAATATATA